CATGGAGATGGAGGGCAGAAGATAAAGAGAAAGAGAAGACAGAGAGAGAGAAAAGAGAGCGCGCAACCGCGGGAGGAGAGAGGAGAGAGGAAAGACGAGCGCGAGGCGATTTGCAGAGAGAGAGAGAGAGAGAGAGAGAGAGAAGAGAGAGAGGGCGAAGAGAAAGAGAGGAGAGGCGACGAGAAACAGGAGAAGCTGTGTGTGTGGCGCGCGCTGTGGCTGTGCTCGTGAGAGAGAGAGATACGAGAGAGAGAGAGCAAGAGAGGAGATGCTTAGTGCGTGGTGGAAATTCGACAGGGATATGTGCTGATGCTGTGCGTGTGCTGTGCTTGTGATGTGTGTGTGTGTGTGTGTGATGCTGTGTGCCTGTGCGTTTGCGTTGCTGCGCTGCGCGTGCGTGCGTGCGATGGCCATGTGTGTGTGCTGCTGCGTGACGAGCAGCGAGGAGAGGCTGTGCGTGATTGTTGCTGTGCTGTGTGTGTGTGTGTGAATTGTGTGCTGTGTGTGTGCTGTGTGTGTGTGCGGTGGCGCTGCGTGCGTGCATGTGGTTGCTGCGTGCAGCAGAGAATGAGAGCCGTGTGCGTGTTTGTGCTGTTGTGTTTTGTTTAGTGAAATCAAACTTACTTATCACATACTACGTACCACTACAGACAGTCGCACAAAACGTGCATAGGCCTACACTAGCTAATTATTTAAAAGCGCGTTGATTAGCCCTAGAGTAGGTGCAGTAAAATCTTGTTGAAATTTTCTTGAAATTCACGATGTAAACAAACTCAAAGTCTATGAACATAATATGTGTTGCCGTGCAATCCAATTCTGCCCCAATCTACGACTCTGCCGACTGTGTGGCAGCTCATTGAACTGTAGCCCCACTAAAAGCACACGCTGACTAAACCTGTCTTGGTTAATATCGGGAATCACTCTTACCTCTTCTTCTTCCTGTCTTTCTTTTTTTTCTCTCTCTTTTGACATCCTCAGGGGGCAGGATATTTGTACAGGCCCCGATCCCCCTCCTTCAAGTAGCAGGAGGCGGCCATGCATCCCCTATCCCCCGATTTACGCCATGTGCTTCAGGTGACTTGCGGTGCGCCTGCTGCGCATAGCGTAGTTGCCAGGCCACGATAGCGCTGCACGGAGCGGAGCGGGCGCGGGGTGCCTCGAGGGGGCGTTGTCCCCCTCGAGTTTGAAATAAAAAATAAAAAATACGCCCTAAAAATACCGCATTTCTTGCACATTATTCTGCTATTATATCATATTTTACTTGTTTGTTGCTTTCCATTAAAATTCAATTATGGATCTTTGCGCAGAAGAAAAATTTGACTCATTCATAGCAATTCCTTGGTACTCACATTCATTAATAATTGTCGCTAATAAAGGCCGGCTTGAGTCTCTTGACAGTATCCTTCCCCACCCACCACCCCCACCGATCCAGAATACCCAGCCAGATCGCGAGCCAGAGCCGAACGCCCGCTGCACCCCGGGCAAGCATGCTCCCTCAATATAACGCAACGGCATGCACTGCCTGCATAGAATCAGGAGTAGACGTGGAGCAGAGGAATCTGTGTGCCAGAGTTCTGGTCCATAAAACATTTCTATTAGCCTACAGGTGACCGACCTCATCTGACCCTGGCGTCCTCCTGGCTTATAGGCGGCCTAGATTACACGTATATACATGGATAATCAGGAGGTAAGATATATCAGAGATCCTATATTATCTTACTCCTGATGATATATGTACCCGGCCAAAGACGTATAAATGTGTAGGGAAATGGTGCGGGGTTTTATTCTGAAAGATTTTGGTTACGTAAAATTTATGGCCTGAAAAAAGTGCCGCGGCGCGTCGCAGCCTTCGACCCCCTTGTATATAACACCTCGGGTTCGATTTTCCTCTCACACGTACGAGCACACACATACACAAAATATATACGCGTGCGTTTGTGTGTGTGCATCTGTGCGTGTGTCTATATATGAATTGCCTGCCTGCGTGATGTACACACACGAAACACAAAAATAACGAATAATATTATATATATATATATACTCTCGAAAGCTTGCTGATTAAAATTTGACGCCTTATTCTATTCTTCTACATTTATTTTCATATTTACATCGGTGTCCATAGATAGATAGATAGATAGATAGATAGATAGATAGATAGAATAGATAGATAGATAGATAGATAAGACTAGATAGGTAGATAGAATACACATAGATAGATAGATAGATAGATAGATAGATAGAATAGATAGATAGATAGCATAGATAGATAGATGATAGCATAAATACGATAGATAGCATAGATAGATAGATAGCATAGATAGATAGAATAATAGATAGATAGAATAGATAGATAGATAAAATAGATAGATAGCCAATAGCATAGATATGAGAGATAGATAGACGAACGATGATAGATAGATACATAGCTTAAATAATTAGAATAGATAGATAGCATACGATAGAATAGATATTAATTTTATTATATTATATATTATATTGCTGTTGCTGTTGCTGTTGCTGTTGCTGTTGCTGTTGCTGTTGCTGTTGCTGTTGCTGTTGATGTTGCTGTTGCTGCTGCTTCTGCTACTATATAGTAGTGCGAATCGTTATCACACGCGTTTTTATACGGTTTTGTGGCGCGTATGGGGCAGCTTTGACAAACAAACGCGTTTGCACCGAGCTTTTCTCGAACAAACAAGCCTAACAAAGAAATAATTAAGCGCCACGTATTTGCTTTTAGCGGAGAAGTAAGTAGTGCCTACTCAGCTGCGTTAGAATACATCGTCGCGCGGCGTTGATAAATTGCTCTATTCCACCCACCATCACCCTATGCTTTATAGAATCTAAATATCTATTATTTATAATTAAATATGATACACACACATGTATATCAGGAGTTAATGTGACAAAGGTTTGAGACAAATTTGTCTCATTAACTCCTGATGTATATATGATATATAATTATAATTGAAGTGATCTTTTTCAGAGAGATTTCCCGGGTAAAATTGTGCGATTTCGTTTGATCTATTTTTTCATTGCAGACGTCTCCAGTAATAATACTTCTACTTCGATATGCGACACAGCAACTGCATGGACCTCCCTCGCAGGTTTCAATACGGGATGATGTGTAGCCGGACTCACAGATGTGTTCAGAGACACAGAAGTTAATTTCCAATGCAAAATTAATGCCTTGTCCACAATATGTAACGGTTCACAGGTGAAGTCCTCTTCTAAACGTGATACATAGTTTAGGGCCTGCGTTATGGCTGGGGTTAAAACTAAGGGATAAATTTCTGTTAGAGATACAGTTAGAAATATGCTAATGGGTTAGGTTTAAGGTTAGGGTTACAGGTAAGGGTTAATTATATCAATTAATTAAGAACTCTTGCCGCCTGTTTTTGCTCTTCTTTTTTAAAATAATAATGAGTGTTTCAATAAGTTTATTGAGCATGGATAATTTTTTGTTTTGTTTACTGTATTTCTTATATATCGGTATGTTATGTTACATTAGTAAGAGTTCACCTATTATTATTTATTATTTATTATTTAATAATTTTTGTAATTTATAGGAGTGGCTATAACTAAAAGACTGTATTGTCATTTTGCCATCCATCCCATCTATCACTTCTATTTATTTTGTTTCATGTTATACTTTTCTGCTAATTTGCATAAGTGTAAATAAAGTGATTGATCGAATATGAATATATATATATGAAAATTAGATTCGGAAGTCTGACATTATCAATGATTTATCAAGGTAGGTTGTTACTCAGTTTTTATTGTGCTCTCATTTCAAGTGCCATCACTGGCATCTTGTATTATATATACTGTGCAGTGTTAGCATGTATATATAATATCAAGAGTGCATAATAGAGATCTCTATTATGCACTCTTGATAATATATATATATACGGGTGCGAGTGTGCGTGCGTGCGTGCGTGCGTGTGCGTGTGCGTTACATGTCTTGATGATTAGCATATAGGCCTACGTATATGCCTTGGCCCACGGAACCCATAGAAATATAATATCATAGATATAGAATACAGATTATCTGTATTCTATAATATAAAGACACTAGAACAAGTATTATTTCTATGCCGGAACCGGAACTCCACGTAACGACAACGATGATTATGTTTATTTTCCGTTAATGATTTTAAAAAGTACGGATATACCGCAATACATAATTTAATTGCGTCACTTTTTTCACTAGGTGCAGCAAATTATTGCACAACCCTAGAAAAAAGGCAGAAAATCTGTAAACGAAATACATAAAACCAAACCGGATGTTACCTTTGATCGCCGCTGCCAGCGTGTAACATTGTCAACATCATGAACGAAAACAGAAATTTGTCGTCAGTGAGCAGTGCTGGCACGATCGAAGACGAAATACTATTAAAGAAACAAATAATCGGCAATCACATATCAAATACAACAGCTCCGGATGACGCGTTTTATAAGGTAGATAATTCAAAACAGCAGTCACCGTAATATGGGTGAGACTGTGACTGACTGAATGACTCGGTGACTCACTGACTGTGACTCTGGCGAAAATTGCCATTGCCATTGCAATTGGCTGAATTGCATTGCCATTGGCCATTGGCATTGCAGTTACTTACACTTACAGTGGTGGTGAGCATTATAAAGAAAGTTGATGAAGAAATCCTGCCCATAAATACGTCCAGTTTATGAAGTGTGTTATTATATATAGTAATATTACGTGTGTTGACAGATAAGACCACTGGCAGCAAGAACAAGCCCGCACGTACTTTACAGCACACAGGCGGCGCCATTGAATATATAATACAACCGGATTATATAGTCAATGGGGTTAGCCGCTAGCTTTTCCGCCAGGTGGCGCAGCGGGAGTTAGAGGTGTTACAACGATTGCGCAACGAACGAGTCAGTTGTAAAGATACAGGCATCATAGCGATATAACCAAGTTAAAAGGCCTTCGTACTGTTGTGTTCCTGGTTGTAAGTCGGCTAAAGCTGGTCATAAGTTTCCAGCGAACCCGAATCTGAACTACAAATGGAGGGTTGCTGTGAGGATAGTTGAGAAAACCACGAAAAATTTACATTTTCTACGTACAAAAACAAGAACACTTTAAAAACGATGATCGGCTGTGGCCCAAGAGGCCTTGTTACTTATGTCAGTGATAGCTATGGTGGTAGCGCCAGTGACCGTCAAATTATTGAGAGGTCTGAGCTATGTAGTAGTGCTATGTTTGACAGGGGTGACAGCATCATTTCAGATAGAAGAATTATAGTTCAGGATCGGTTTGCTAGTAAAGACGTGCATGTAAACACGCCGTCAATGCTCAAAGGAAAATCCCAACTTAATGCAGAGACAGTTGTTAGGGATAGACGTATCGCATCTAAGAGGATTCATGTAGAGCTTGCTTAGACCAATGACCCTTTTTTAATATTTTAAATGTATAGAACTTGCCCCATCAGAAGATTTCTCTCGGTGAATTAATTGTTAAGGTGTGCTTCATGATTTCCAACTTCAGGCGAGCTATTGTCAGCAGTAATGCCTAGTGTCTGTAGTAAATGGCTGCATTTTAGAAATAAAGATATACATAATTTGTATTGCAACTTGAGTCTTTGTAGCTTTAATAATCTCAATAAACATATTACATAACTCCTGAGCACACACAAAAGAATCAACACCCACTTCACATATGCACCACTAATATCACCGTGAATCTCAATAAACATATTACATAACTCCTGAGCACACACAAAAGAATCAACACCCACTTCACATATGGACGCAAGCACACACGCACGCACGCACCCATACACGTGGACGTGCACACGCACGCACGCACGCACACACGTGTACCTGCACACGCACGCACGCACGCATACACGTTTACACGCACGCACACACGCACGCACGCACCCATACACGTGGACGTGCACACGCACGCACGCACGCATACACGTTTACACGCACGCACACACGCACGCACGCACCCATA